TATATATATATATATATATATATATATATATATATATATATATATATTACGATAACGTAAAAGAAACATGGTGAAATAAAATGCTGATTGAAATAGACACAATAATTAATATTGTAAAGCCAAATAGAGAGAAACACTACAGGGATATTAGTACAGAGATATTAGACAGGCAGAAGTAAAAGAAATGAATGGATGCGTGCAGTTAAGGAACATAATGGTAAACCAAGTCCCCTTCTTGGCTATGCGAGCTAAAGGAAAGAAATATCATTATGTATATTAATTATGCATGTTAAAGGACACCTCGCTGATGAACTTGACCTTTACATATGTTGTCCAGGACATGTCCCTGAATAACATTTATAAAGTTTTAGGTGGCGGTCTCTCTTTATTAAAAAGTTATAAACAAAAGAAGTGGACTATTTGGGCTGTAGTTTTTCGATTGCATTTATGTATATATTATATATAAACATCTTATTAAATGCACAAAGTACACGTGTATTAAGTAATACAATGTTATGTATAATAGAAAGAAACGTGAATATGTTAAGATGTTAACTACGTAGTAACATGAGAACGCAATAATTGATATGTAGTATTGGACAATTATATCGTATTTACAAAATACTTCCATATACGATGTATATGGAAATATGGTGAACAGTACACGTATAACTAACCTTAACCTAACCTATCTAATGCAATATTCTAAACCGTACATGATGGGTTTGATTAGGGTTAGTTTTTTGGAAAGGGGATGCGGGAAGAGGAGCGGAGCCCCTCTCCCGCGCATACGCGTGTATTTTGTGCATGTAAGATGTCTGTATATAATATATACATACATACAATCGGAAAACTACAGTCCAAATAGTCAACTTCTTTTGTTCATAACTTTTTAATAAAGAGAGACCGCCACTTAAAACCTTCAGAACATTACTCACGAGGGTTACCTTTATCACATATGTGAAGGTTAAGGTCATCGGCGAGGTCCCTTAATATACATAATTACCGAATATAATGGTAAACCAAGTCCCCTTCTTGGTTATGCGAGCTAAAGGAAAGAAATATCATTCACCGGAGGATAATTGCAAATTGCAAGGGATAATGAGCTTTTTGTTCGACGTACTTTCCATAATATCGAGTGATACCACTGGTCCCTCGTATAAGCGTTGCTGGCTTGCAGAAGAAGCGAACCATCTGGCAGGACGATGCTGAGGCAGTTCTTGTACGCGGGGTCCCATCTGGCGACAACGTACTTTCGCACCTCCGACATGCTGCTGTACGGCACGGGTTGCTGAAAGAAACCCGTGAGCTGAAACAGACAAACAGAATAAAGTTGAAAGACATCTCTGGACCGCGCCAGAATGGTGTGACGACCGTCGATAATGATACCACCACGATCGGATCAAAAGTCATTACAGGCTACTTGCACACTGAGAGAAAAAAAATGATTGATTTCACGGAGGAAAAATTTATCTTTACTTCAACCATATTTTTGGTTGTTCTAACTACCGAAAATGGTAATAGTAACACGCAAATAACGTTATTATTGGCTAACATTATTGGCAGAATCAAGTAAAACAATGATTTCCTTAAACATAATTTACTGTAATTATTTCTCTATGTGATTATAGTTATAAATACTAAACGTTTTTTCCTCAGTCTAGTTATCTGTTATTGCCGCTGCTAAACTCGATGTGTCAGCGCAAAGTTAATAAACACGTAAAATGCCCGCACAAAAAAATAATCCAATATCCGTTATCGTGCGTCGGATTGCGGCGCGTATTATATAAAGGAACAGCTAATGAAGCATCAATATACTATTAATAAACTAATAACGATGATAATTAATCGCACGCAGTAATCAATGTTCAGCCGAACACACCATCCCGCTTATTATATAATTAAGCCGCGGTGCAAAAGAAATAACGTCGATTTTGCAATCGAACAGGAATGCGTTATTATCCTGAATACAATGAAACGACGTATCGTGTGCGGTGAAGAATTCGCGGCGGTCGTACCATATGCCGCTTCCGAAACGTGATGTCACGATAAAAGTATTCAGACAACTAACTCGCAAATCGATTGCACTTGATATTTCGTATAAAGTGAAAAAAAACATGTCGACAGAAATTTATCAAACGCCCCTCGACCATTAATCATTTCCCGTTTTGCAGCACTTGTAATCGCAGATTATTAGCGTCGTTTGACGTACGAACACGACAAAAAAGCGTCATCGCTGATTACATAAATTCATCTACGCGCAACGGATAATAAAAATGCTCGCATGTAATTCCGTTATTATTCTGTGAAAGTCGTCAGTATTAAACGCTCATATCGAGCGAGGTTTTGTGCGAATCTTCTTGTGATACTGATTCAAGGAGTAACAACATCTAGAACACACGTTTCTCTTAAAAATATACATTTATAACTGAGTCTTTATGCAGTGAAAAAGAGGAAGGTTACATCCTCTCCAACGTAATTCGTCGTGTTCCTTTTCTGACTCGACACTGAAATCGCGCTCTCAAATATAGATTCACTCTTAGTTCGAGAGGAGAAGGCATATGTTTCAGTGTAACGGTAAATTAATCGACAATATAGAGAAACGGCCATCATAAGTGGGACAGTTTCCGCTTTCGAATGCACTTTGCCGCGTGTCGCTATGAGTTTTCTACGCGGAGAAATTTACGAGTGGCGAATCGTTTGATGAGGTCCGAGGCACGGCTACTATATGTTACACAGAGTTCCTTTTAGACCGAGCGCGCTGTCGAAAAGTGCGAAATCCGCGGAGTGAAAACGTGTCGCAAGGTGCACCGCACGTGCCGTTGACGTCGGCATTGAGAACAAAGGGCCGCGCGTGGCTTTCGAAAATTTCAACTTTATGCGTTTATAGCTGAACGAAAAATTGACGTACGGATATGAAACAAAGGCCAGTCTCTTGAAAATTTCACGTGGCATACGCTCGTGCTGGTTGCGTATGCTCTTGTTATGACACGTGTTCACGTGTCATTATACGTGCCATTATACCCACGTAGCGTATGCGACACGTTGTTACACAAAGATGCCAGAATATAGTTCGATAAGAAAAGAAAGAGTGTGTTGGTGGCTGCTGTTCTGCTGAAATGTGCTATTTAAGCACTTGCTACGTTTTTTGCAAACTTACTATGTTCCTTAACAGGATAACGGTTTAGAAGGTGAAAGAAAAGGCGCATGAATGAATAGATATGAATTAATCAACGTCGAATTTAAGCGCGATCGACCGCCTAAAATGACGCGATCAAACTTGTCACGGTGAAGCGTATGAATGTATAAAACGACATCGGCGAATCTGGCCGCGGTGACAAAAAAGCCGACTTGGCGAAGGAGCGGAACACACGCGAGAGAGCGAGCGGTGGAGGCCGCGGCGAGAAAAAGGGACGGCGCGGAGAAGTTGCATAATGCAACCTGATGAGGACAATGCGCCCTGGTTCGCGCGCATCACTCGGCGTCTCGAGTTCTGAGACTGCACGGGGGATGATGACGACGACGATGGCGGCGGCGGTCGTATACGTATGTAAACGTAATATCGACGACTAACACAGAGACGCGAACATCTGCGTGTGGAATAGTGAATGACGTCAGCAGGGCGCGCGAATCTAGGCCGAGGGTTGAACGACTGTTGGAGCGGGCTCGGCCGAAACTGGGACGCTGCATCCCCTCGCTAAACACGGCCGAAAAGCGACGCTGTGCGCGCCGGGGCGCCGGAATTTGCGATCGCTGTTACGAATGTACGCGCGGGCTATCTTATTTCGTCCGATCGGCCGTTACATTGTACATTTCAATTCTTTGAAACCCGACGACTGGAAAGAGCACGATTGGGAAACGGGGGGAAAAATAGCCTGGGGGAGGCAAGGAGACGCCAAGTTGCATAATGCATCCCTTTTTGCGCGCGCGCGCGCGTACACACACACACACACACACACACACACATGTACGCACGCACCAAGTGTTTTGAGAGTGTAGGAGGAGAATTCGCGTTTACGGTGGGAAACGGCGTGTATTCGTAAATACAGACGACGATTAAAAATGACTTAAGGTTCGCAGTCGACGAGATAGGTATGCAAATCGACGTGCCGAAGTGGATAGCTATGCATACTTATAGGCGCGGAACGATCGAACGGCATTTATTTAAATACCACACGAGTGTCGTGTTCCGCGCGAATAAATATCTCATTGAATTTCACTTTTATTGCATAACATATAACACCAACATCCCGGTAAATCTTATTGTTTATAAATAAAATAACATTTTCGTGAATCCGCCGGGAGAGAGACATCCGCGACGCTCATAGTGACGAGTGCGCTGATCGCCGTTTGCAAAGGGTGTACTGCGCAATTAATACATCTCTTTTGCCATAAAAGCGCCGATCCAAGGTCATCTTTTGTAAACGACCTCACGATCTTTTTATGCATCTGTGCTACGAAGACCACTATGCATATGCATGCAACGACGCTATGCATATTCATATGTGACGTAAACGATAACAAAACGGCTGCGCCCATTACTTTACTGAAAAGTGACTGAATTTCGTGACTTAATATCCGCAAATGGATTGTTACTCGTGATTTTTTAATCTACTCTTCCTTCCTCTCTCTTCTTCACTCCTCCCCTCCCCCCTCTCTCTCTCTCTCTCAACTCGCATCTAAATCGATTAATGCATAGAAAGGAAAGGCGCCAATGTGCATTTCTATAATTAAAGTAAGTGGATAACGCTATCTCATAGGGACGTCGAGCGTCATTACGATAATACGTAAAAACAGAAATAAGTGAATGACATGTGCGTGATCCGCTCGCAATTGTACGTCCGCTGCATTATCGCGCGGGCAAACTGCATGGCAAGTCTCTCTCTCTCCCTCTCTTTCAAGTGCGACAATACGATTTTGCAGTTGTATTGACGTGCGAATGTAAATTCGCACGCTTCCAGAATGGCTTATCGCTGGGCGCTTGTTTATTACGTTAGTAATAACAAGGAGAATAAATTACGTTAGTTATGCATTTTACTCTCCTATATACTAGGACTGTGCGAAATGATACTCGATTCTGAACGCGTGGCCCAACGGTTACTTGAACTGATTCACGCAAGTCAGTTTTCATTGTAACGATTACTTGTATCGAAAGAACGGATTCAAATTTGAGTACAGTCAGCTGATGAAGTGTAACAATATTTTTCCTCGATAGTTTTCGCAACGCATTCCCTATTCAATAGAAAATTTAAAGATATAATTAACATCTATTACACTTTTACAATTAACATCTAATTACACTTTTACAATTAACATCTAATTACTAAAATATCTATTCTCCTCTCGGATACGGGATGCGTTACGAAATCCATCGTGGAAAAATGTTGCTACCGATTGTATCATTTCGCACAGCCCTTCTCCTACCCATCTATGTCCTCTCGGCTATTTGAATGACCTATAAGGAGCTAAGCACGGATGTCTTAGTGCCATTAGATATTAATACTACTTTAATAATATAATCATATTAATATGATAGTGGGAGGATAATATGTCCAGCATGTCAAACGCATGTATCGAAATTTTTTCGATCATCGCGGTGAATCAACCTTCTACATTTAGATCGATCCTTGAGTTCCAAACTTATATATATATATATATATATTTATTTATTTATTTATATTCCCAAAAACCCCCAATTAAACCGATGACTCAAATAGATTCATTTTATATGTTGCGAAAAAACTGCCTCCGCCAGGATTCAAACCTGGAACCTCCCCACTTTCCGGGCGGGACGCCTTTCCATTCGGCCATCGAGGCATCTGTGCTTAGTTTCTTATAAGTCATTCAAATATTTCTGTTAGTTATTCAAGGAGCTTTCTATAATTTCGGTTTATATCTCGGCTATTCTTCAGATTTGCGACTTACGTTTGTTTTTGACGCAAAACACCCAGTTGCATAATCGATGCGACCGTTCGTTACTCGCTCATAATTGCAAATTATCTAAATCGCGATTGTTCGAATGCTAACGATAAAACTTGCGAAATACTGGCAACCTGACGAGGATTCGCAATACGCGGCGCTTCCTGCTCGTCGCTATTGTGTAACTGCGAATTAGCGAGTGACATGTCGAGAGTTCACGCGAAAGAAAAAAGAGAAGGGGCCAAACCGTGCACATTGCCTTCTGTGTCATCACTCATGAATACATTACAATACCTTAAGTGCTGTCGTGTGCAAACGACATTAACGAACTTTCACCTATCTACCGTCTTTTCTGACGATGCGACAATGGAACATAAGACACGAAGAACG